ATCCCTGAAGAAGCCTATGGACTAGTATGGAGGAGTGATCCAGCTCTCAGATTTCATCAAAAATATCTTAATTCTAGGGATGGCTGCCGCGAAACAGTCGTTCCGAAGCTTTGCGAGATCCCGAAGCGCAGATGTTTCGAAACACTGATTCGAAGCGTGATTCAAAACACCCATGTCACGTGACTATGGCCAAACGAAGCCTCGAAGTGTTTCACTAAGTGTTTCATCAGGTGTGATCCGCCGAATCAGCGTTTGATTGACACGGTCGGAAACAGACCACACAATCTCACATCTGTATAAAAGTTAAATCAACGCATATTGACCTCGTGGGTTTTTGTGAGAGGAGTTTGATTTTGAGATAGCGGATTTTTGGTGATATAGTGCGATTTGTTTAGTTATATTTAGGCTTACATTTAAATTTAAACAACACATTGACTGATAGGCTAGAGACACAGAGTATACATAGTGACACATTAATAGATAGGCTACATAGATATAAATATATATAGACAGCTAGATTAATAGATAGATAGATACATATATAGATAGATTAAAGATAGGCTACATATATAAATACATAGATAGATTATAGATACATTTATAGATACATATCTAAATACATAGATAGATTATAGATACATAGATTATAGATACATATCTAAATACATAGATTATAGATACATATTATATATACATATCTAAATACATAGATAGATTGTAGATACATATATCTAATTACATAGATAGATTAGAGATACATATCTAGATAGATTTGGATAGATAGATAAAATGGAGGCTCCCCAGAAGAGATGCCGTACATCTGTGGTGTGGGAGCATTTCCATTTAGAAACCCCAAATAAAGTGAGATGTGTGTATTGTGATCGGCAGCTCGCCTACTGCAACAATACATCTTCCAGTAGAAACACAGGACAGTTTATGGGAACTTTTTGATACTCGTATCCATCAAACCCAGATGATACACAATGCTACAGCTGATGCCACAGTGGAAGTGAAAAAATACATCAACGATGCGTATTTGCCCAGAACTCATGATCCACTAACTTACAGAAAAAGAGAGAGCAGTAATCTTTCCTCATTTGTATGTATTAGCTAAAAAATATCTTTGCATGCCAGCAACAAGTGTCCCTTGTGAGAGGATTTTTTCAAAGGCTGGAGAAATTATCTGTAAAAAAAGAAGTAGGCTAAGTCCTAGCAGAGAAATTAATATTTTTGAATAAAAATATGTAAAAAAGTGAGACATTGTGGCTTGATTTATTTGATTAATATTCATTTTGCAGGACCAACATAACATTATGCACGGTGAGGAGCCTATAGGTTGCAAGATTCACATATTAGAAAAGTACAATAATAAAAAAAAAACAAATTTTCATGGCTCGTCAAGGTTGTTTCAGATCAACACCTGCAAGTGACCACTAGGTGTCACCGTGGAGACGGGTGTCGGATTGATTCGAAGCCTCGAAACAATATGGACCATTTGGTTCAACTGTTTCATTGCTTCACGAAGCCTCGATCTGCCCATCACTACTTAATTCGTGTTCCGAAGATGAACGAAGGTCTTTACGGGGTTGGAACAACATGAGGGTGAGTAAATACTGACAGAATTTTCATTTTTGGGTGAACTAACCCTTTAAGCCTTTGAAATTGCGCGCTCTCCGGACACACCCGCACGCCACGTGCGCGCTCCAACGCCACATGTGCGCGCTCCTCGGACCAGCTGCAACCACTTGACGCTCCAACGGAACACAAAGATCAGCCGCTCACACACGCTCATGAGAACCAAATGCAAGTATCCGTTTATTGAGCTTTCAGAGCAGTAAGATTGTGTTTTTTGTGTTGTCTCTCAGAGGTTTTAAATGCCCAGGTGAATTTTGCCAAACTCTGTTGATCCTTCGGGATCTTCCCAACTCTCTCTCTCATTCACTCTCTCCCTGTTTCTTTCACTCTCAGATCCTTTTAGTGTTTGTTCATTGTCGTTGTGTTATTGTCTGTATATACATTTTATTCCTGTAACGTTAGTAACCGTATACGTAGTGTACTAAATTATTAAATTCATTATATTCATTCATTGATTCTGTTGTGTTTTGCTCACATACAAGTCACTTAAATGCTTCGATCAGCTACGCTTTAAATTTGCAGAATACTTTACATAGTATTTTTATAGAATAAAGAAGTTGTTTTTCATGGCCAGAGAAATAGCCTTTCTTCTATAAGATGGATAGCCTTTCATGGGGTTTAATTAAAGTATGGTACGGTGAGTTTGCTGGACAAACAGATTCTTCATACTAGATTGATTGCCGTTAAAGGTTATCCTGAGAATATATCTATTCTCGACAATTTGTATATGAATAAATAATTATAATTCGTTATGATTTTGATTATTGATATAAAATTGATCTATCTTGCCGATCGGTATGAATAATTGATTATAAATCCATTGTATTCAGTCGTTCATAACATATTGGCAACGTAACCCCCCTCGTTGGGCGATTTAACGATAAGTATCTGGTTCAAACCCGTATGAATAATTATTAATTATGAATTATGAATTATTGAATACATCTTCCCCAAAACTGAAACCGGATACCTTACAAAACAGTCAGCTTTGTCTTTAATAAGCATAAAACGCATTCCAGTATAATGAACACAGGATCCGTGCACTAGCTCTTAAAGTGACGGCAGCCATATGTGTCTGTCATTAATTTTGTTGTCAAAACAACAAAAGATAGCTTTAAGTTAAAGGAATCAGGATTAATAGCCTATGTATTTAATTTAACTAGACTAAAATACTACCCAGTGTTATTTTCCATTTGATTAGGCCTACTTTATTCAGTTTCTGTATAGGCCTAGTGTTAGACCCATTGAAAAAATGTATCTTTATTTGTCTTTATTTGTATCTTTATTCTATTGTATTTATTTGTGCTACAATTTAATTAAACAATTTAAATCAAGCTTCCTTGTGTTGTGTAAACTCTTAACAACAATATTACCCCATTGTAAAAATGCAATGAGCGCAAACATTTAGACAAGATAAATGTAATAATTTTGTTTGGAAAAAATGAAATGCACATATCAGAGTTAGAACCAGATGCATATTTGTATTGATGATTCTAATTTGATTGTTATATCCAATTGTTGATATTTGTGTTTTTAAAAAGTTTTTGATTGATGTATAGTTTTGACTCCTAACCAATTTTCTACATTAAAAAATTGTCTTTTTATTTGGGCTAGTAAAATTCATTTCGGGCTACCAAAATCTGAAGAGTGCCTGCCCGAAGGGGTACCAGCGATTTTGACATTTTGCGAGCCCTGAGTTCTGATGACATTTTCCGGTGAAAATTCTTATGTTGGTCATACTTCCAAATAGAAATATAGCTGCAAGCAGCAACATGGGGCCAAGCCCTTCAAGTATTACAGCAAGTAGAGCAAGTACAGCAAGTACTGCAAGTACTGCAAGTACAGCACAGCAAGGACTGCAAGTAGAGCAAGTACAGCAAGTACTGCACAGCAAATACTGCAAGTAGAGCAAGTACAGCAAGTACTGCAAGCACAGCAAGTACTGCAAGTACAGCAAGTACAGCACAGCAAATACTGCAAGTACTGCAAGTACAGCAAGTACTGCAAGTACAGCACAGCAAGTACTGCAAGTACAGCACAGCAAGTACTGCAAGTACAGCAAGTACTGCAAACACAGCAAGTACAGCAAGCACAGCAAGCACTGCAAGTACAGCAAGTACAGCAAGCACAGCATCACATCAATTACTGCAGAACAGCAAGAACTGTAAGCCTAGCAGCGCAGCAAGCATTTAAGCACCAACAGCAGTGCAGAGCCGGAAGAACAAAAAAAGCAGAAATTGAATGTACATGAAGAACAGATAGGTTCAGAAGTACAGATAGGATGAAATCAAAATGAACAGAAGGTCTGATGAGAACGAACACAGAATGAAGTAATAAAAAAACACGCTTATTTCTAATCCAAGAGTAAGAAAGATTAGTACAGCTCTTATATGAATAATAAAGGAATTTAAATGACAACTTTATACATAATTTTAAAGTTGACCCACACAGGACTCAAACCCACTATCTTCGGGTTAGGTGCCTGTCACTCATCACGTTGCGCCACTTGGCAGACTTTATCTACACAGCTGCCGAAATTCAATAGTTTCAAGAGAGAATCAGGTCAAAATGAAGAATTTTGAAGAAAATGCAGAGCATATTGTATTTTAAAAGTTTGATTAGATCCAGTGTTGTTTTTGGCAGCCCTTTTAGTTTTAGTCTTAGTCTTTGGACGAAAATGCTTTTTAGTTTTAGTCACATTTTAGTCACTTAAAAACGTAATAGTTTTAGTCGCCGAAAACACAAAAAGGTTTTAATCAAGTTTTAGTCAATTTTTGTAAAAAAAAAAATATATATATATCGAGGCTGCGTTCGGAATCGCATACTCAATGAGTAGGTACTTAATTTCAATGAGTACTTACTTAACGAGCGCTAAAAGAGTAGGTAATTAATGGCCAAATCTCGTTAAGTATGAATGCGATCCGGACATCATTCGCCATGTTGACGTTACATGTGACCTATGACGTTTTCACAAGCGCAACAATTTAAAAGTCATGAGTGACAGGTGCACTAACAGCTGATTGCATCAGTAACTCGACAACTTTACTAGAACGGTTTAGTTCAGCGTTTGAAATGGTTGGCATGTCTGCAATTGTTAGATTAAGGTGTGCACAAAGGAGATGTCGGGCAGCTGCTCGACGATCTCGCCTTTGGAGAAGACTGTTTGAGTAGTATTCTCAAACAAAGCAAGTATTACTAGCCCATCCCAACACTTATGCACAATAATTATGACAAATGCTGTGACCAACAGTTAATTATATAACATTATTATAATATATATACATTATTAATTATGTAGTTTTGTAAAACAAGCAAACTTTTGTATTATCATATGACATAGCATGAAAACACGCTAGACAAATGCAGATGATGTAAATACATTTTTATTCATGAAATTCATATTTTATTTACTGACAACAATATGAAACATGAATAAAAATAAGTGAATGAATAAAAGAAATCATCACAATAAATAAATACATATACAAGTCAATACCACATGAAACATCGCTTTATTCAAGCTTTTTGTTCTAACAAACTATGATGTATTTATTGCAGGCAGTGAACCCCACATCATACTGCCATCTCAATAGAGCTGTTCCCATTTTGCGGTTTTATCTTGATGAGGCAGCTGACCACCGTGCCCACCTTCGCCTGTCTATGCCGTCCATCAGGTCCCTGATTGCTGCAGTCAGACCTGGATCTGACCATGGATGGGAACGGGAGATTGAGGTCCTTGTGTTCCTGCACTGGCTGGCCCATGCAGCATCCTACAGGGTGGTGTCGCAGACCTTCGATATCCCAAAGACCTCTGTGCATGACATTGTGCACAGAGTGAGCAAGGCCATCATGGGAATTTTGAGGAGGGTGATCTGCTTTCCGACCGGAGATGACCTGGAGGCAGTGGGAGCAGGATTTGCGCAGCTGTCTGGGTCACCAGCTTTCAGCAGAGCAGTTGGTGCAATAGACGGCTGTCATATCCGTATCAAACCTCCAGCAAATAACTCCCACTGTTACTTCAACAGAAAAGTGTTTCACTCCATCCAACTCCAGGCCATCTCTGATCACCGGGGGAAATTCCTTGATGTCTTTGTGGGATATCCTGGGTCTGTGCACGATGCCAGGGTGCTGATGAACAGTCCAGTGTATGCTGGCAGCCTTTACCCACCTGCAGGCAAGTGCATCCTCGGGGATGGAGGCTATCCTTGCCTGAGTGCACCCATCTGCCTCATCACCCCTTACAGAGAGCCTGTACAGAACCCTGTGCAGGCTCGTTTCAACAGCAAGCACTCCCGTGCCCGCAACATCGTGGAGAGAGCTTTTGGGATGCTGAAGACACGCTGGCGCTGTATCTTCTTCAAGGCCTTGGAGGTGAGCCCTGCCTTCGTGCCTGAGATTGTTGCGTGCTGCGCTGTGCTTCACAATCTCGCTCTAGCCAATGGGGACATCGTTGAGCCAGAGGATGAGGAAGACCATGATGACGGCCCCCCTGATCCCCACAACCTTGCAGCAAGAGTGGGAGAACAAGTGCGGGACAATCTGGCTGCTGCAGTGTCTGCTCCAAACATCCCTGTGCCTGCTCTCCATGAGCACGACTACCTTTAAAACATTAAGAAAGATAAAAATGTTTTAAAATTCATGTTGTCAGCATTCAGTTTCTTGACAAATGTCATTTTATAGGTTTACAATTACATGCAAATATTTGTTAGAGCTTTAAAACCTTTTGTAGTGTAGAGGGATAAACCAATGAACTGGTTAGAAGAAGATTGCTGGTCAATCAGCAAGGCTCTTTACTCCAGGTTTGTCCAGGGTCATTTTCCCTGTAAATAAATGGAGTTAATCACTTTTGATAAAAAATATGTCAAATGCATAAATGTGATTGATATTTGTAAAGCATTTTTTGAACCAGTCATGGGCATAAACAGTCAAAGCTGCTTAGTTTGTCAAGGAATTACTATAATGCAAAATGCATACATGAATTTACTACAATTTATATTTGGTGGGTTAAAGGGTTAGTTCACCTCAACATATAAATACAGCAATTGTTTACGGTTTACTAATTACTTATTTAATGTTTTTTATTGTTTAAATACAAAAGGGAATTTTTGTCAAGTTTGTTCTGCTGGATTCATACAATATCAGTCAATGGAGCCCAACTTTCAGAAGCTTCATGGCATTATTTAATGACGCTTTTGAAGCTTCTGAAAGTCCATTGACTGATATTGTATTAAACCAAACAGTACAAACCTGACCAAAATCACCTTTTGAGTTCAGGAAAACAAAAAACAGAGGGATCAAACAACATCAAGGCGAGTAAATAATGACTATTGAATTATTACTATTATGATTTATTTGCTTGGGTTAAGTAACCCTTTAGTCACTATTTTACTGTGTGTAATTTGTGTAAACAGTCTCAAGTTCAGCTTTGGTCATGGAGGGCTATTATCCAGCAGAGTTTTTCCAACCCTAATTATACACCCCTGAATCAATTTAAACCAATTAATAACTGACTACTTGAAATTTACTGACAGGTGTGCTGGAACTTAACCCTCCATGACCTGCCTTTAAGATCCTTGCATGAACTCTGTAAACCTTTAAAAGTCATATAATACACTCCAGTAAAACCAGTGTTTTAAAGTTTTTTTTTCTTCTTACATTACACCATACATTCACTAATTATTAATCAACGTTTCATAAATATTTAATTTATGAATTTGATTACAATCTTAAATCACTAAATTTCTAGAAGTCTATAATGTGCTGTGAATGCCTAGAAATAGTTTGTTTTATATACATATTATTGTACAAAATTCTTAGGCCACCATTTGTAGTTGTTGCACAGTACTGTGTGTATATATATAAACTCTTAGAAGAAAAGGTTCTATATAGAACCTTAAAAGGTTCTAAAGTGCTACGTATTTGGAACCCCTAAAATGCAATCCATGAATGATCAAAAAATTCAAGATATGGGGGTTTAAAAATGTAATTAATCAATATCACACGAAGAGTGGCATTTCAGTTTTTATCCTTCAAAAATCAGCATGATTAAAATGGGATATTAAGTTACTACAACAGTTTAATAAACAATAATTTAATTACAACTGCAAAAAGTTGCAGAATAATGTAATATATGAATGAATAATAGCCTATAAAGAACCTTTGTGCCAAAAGGGTTCTTTCTTGTCATTATCATAATTTTTTGCATAAAAGGTCCTTTGCAGTTGAGTAAAGAACCCTATGCTACATATATAGAACCCTTTTTCCTAAGAATATAGATTCCCATTTTTATTCACAAATTTAATTCACATCAACCCAAATGTGCAAAAGATCAGAAGATGTTTTTTGTCAAATAATTTATTTTTTGGCGAGCATCTGAAGAACAGAAAGGAACCTTTCATCCCTTTCGTTGGTTTCTCTTTCTCTCCTTTCCTCTCTCTCGACTGCCTCCCGGTGCCATCTCTCTTCTCTTTCTCTTACTTCTCTTTCTTGTCTTTCCTCTCTCTCTCGTCTCTCCCGTTCTCTTCTGTCCTCCTTCTCCTCCATTTCTCTCCACAGCCTCTCCTCCCTCTCAGCTGCCTTCCGCTCTCTCTCCTCTTCTCGCTCCTCCATGTCCCGGATCAGCTCCTCCACATCTATAGCCCTTTTCCTGGCTCTTGCTGGCTCTGGCCTCACTGAGGATGAAGAGACCACAGCAGCATCCGGCCCACATGAGGCAACGAGGGCAGGAGGAGAGATGGAGGGTCTGCCCCCAATTGCCTCATCCATGGCAGTGTACCACTTCCAGGATGCTGCTGTGGGCTCTCCATCCTCAGTGCTCACCCCCGTCTGCGGACATTTCAGATCCTGCAAAAATGCACAAGCATGATACAAAAGCAGTCATTTTAACAGCACAATATTTAATCATTTCATTTATGTATTAGAAGTAACAAAATGATCTTACTTTGTATTTTTGTTTCAGGTTTTCCCTTTTTTTTTTAACAAACGCCGCCGTCACCCTGCCTTGCAGGCTCTGCTCCTCCACAAAAGATCTGCAGCAAGAGAGAAATCAAGAATGAAAAAGTTATATCTCTGTTTGAAAATACAATAATTGAAATGTACTGCAAATAAAGTATTCAATTGATTTTTAAATATTTCTGTATACTCACTCAAAGCCTTTGATGGCAGCATTACGCTTTCCGGTGAAGAGCGCTTCATGAGCCACTCTCCACCGGATAAGCAGCCGCGTGTGCTCATCCGTCCCTGTAACATCCAGACAAGACTCACGTTACCTCTGTGATTTATGAGCTCAATACTACATTTACATGTTGAGGTTGTTGCTAATAAATAGCTTTTTATCCATCATAAATGTTCAACAATTTTTCAACAGTACTAATGGATAAATGAAATAGATTACTTATGTTTAGTTACTTTATGTAAAATGCATTAAACTAATAAAAACAGTGTTAACAACAGTGAATTCTCCTAAACAATAGTACACACACGTCACTCAGATGTCTATTTCATATCAGTTACACGTAGTAATCTTGCCAGATTTTGAATAAATATTTAGTAATGGTATTTCAGATGTATACGGTTAAAAATCTATGCAAATACAGTTTAAAGACGTATGTGTCCTTATGGAGCTCCTCTATCCAATAAATGTGATTTACGGCAAAATCACAAATTTACCATATTATATAGCATCTTTGCACCTTCAACAGTTCAACAATTTACTGTACAGAAAGTTAGTTCAACACATGCGATTTGGTTTGTATTTGTAATACTCACATTTGAAAACACTCTCGTCCACCCTTTCCATCATGTTTGAGTATGAAATATCTACTTCTTCTTGTTCTTCTTTTATATCGTATCCTCTCGCGTGGCCTCCTGGGATAGATGAGTACAAGCTGAAAAGCACTCAAATGTCTGGGCGAAAGCAGGAGATCATCCGGGAACTTCTCGCCTACTCTTTTAGGAATACTGATGTTTCGAACGTACTGCTTCTTTCACGTACTGTTTTCGCCTACTATATAGTAGGAAAGTAGGCATATTCGAACGCACTATCGTCCAAATCTCGCGATAATTAGTACGTCAACCAGGTAATTCTCGCCTACTCTTTTATGAATACTGAGGATTCGAACGTACTTTTTCGCTCGCCTACTCTTTTCGCCTACTATATAGTAGGGAAGTATGCGATTCCGAACGCAGCCATAGACTCCTTCTGATGTTTCATCAGCAGGAGAGTGGTCCATATTTGACCTACTTAACATATTTCTGGCCAAAGTCTTATCAAAGGCTAACCTACTATTTATACTTATAGACTTCTTTTGATGTTACTTCAACCATATATTAGACCATATTTGATCTTATGAACACATTTCTGGACAAAGAGTCCTTAATCTTGAACTTTCTATGCATACTCATAGACTCCTTCTGATGTTTCATCAGCCAGACAGTGGTCAATATTAGACCCACTTAACATATTTTTGGCCAAAGACTCTTTGAACTTGATCTTTCTATAAATACTCATAGACTCCTTCTGATGTGTCATCAGCCAGAGAGTGGTTCATATTTGACCTACTTAACATATTTCTGGCCATTGTCTTATCAAAGGCTAACTTACTATTTATACTTATAGACTCCTTTTGATGTTACTTCAACCATATATTAGACCAAATTTGATCCTATGAACACATTTCTGGACAAAGAGTCCTTAATCTTGAACTTTCTATGCATACTCATAGACTCCTTCTGATGTTTCATCAGCCAGACAGTGGTCAGTATTAGACGCACTTAACATATTTTTGGCCAAAGAGTCTTTGAACTTGAACTTTCTATAAATACTCATAGACTCCCTCTGATGTTTCATCAGCCAGACAGTGGTCCATATTTGACTTCCTTAACATATTTCTGTCCAAAGAGTCTTTGAACTTGAACTTGAACTTTCTAAAAATACTCATAGGCTCCTTCTGATGTTACATCAGCCAGACAGTGGTCCATATTTGACCTACTTAACATATTTCTGGCCAAGGTCTTATCAAAGGCTAACTTACTATGCATACTCATAGAGTTCTTTTGATGTTACTTCAACCATAGATTAGACCATATTTGACCTACTTAACATATTTCTGGCCAAATTCTTTTCAAAGGCTTACTTGCTATGCATACTCATATAGTTCTTTTGATGTTACTTCAACCATAGATAGACCATATTTGACCTTATGAGCACATTTCTGGAGAAAGAGTCCTTAATCTTGAACTTTCTATACATAATCATAGACTCTTTCTGAAGTTTTATCAGCAGGAGAGTGGTCCATTTTTGACCTACTTAACATATTTCTGGCCAAAGTCTTATCACAGACTAACTTACTATTTATACTTATAGACTTCTTTTGATGTTACTTCAACCATATATTAGACAATATTTGATCTTATGAAAACATTTCTGGGCAGAGTCCTTAATCTTGAACTTTTATACATACTCAGACTCCTTTTGATGTTTCATCAGTAGTTCAAATATGACTTTATGTAAATTTTTCTTGCCAGAGAATCCTTGAACTTGATCTTTCTATACATACTCATAGACTCCTCCTGATGTTCCATCAGCAAGAGAGTGGTCCAAATTTGACCCATTTAACATATTTCAGGCCAAAGAGTCTTTGAACTTGAACTTGAACTTTCTAAAAATACTCATAGACTCCTTCTGATGTTTCATCAGCCAGACAGTGGTCCATATTTGACCTACTTAACACATTTTTTGCCAAAGTCTTATCAAAGGCTAACCTACTATTTATACTTATAGACTTCTTTTGATGTTACTTCAACAATATATTAGACCATATTTGATCTTATGAACACATTTCTGGACAAAGAGTCCTTAATCTTGAACTTTCTATACATGCTCATAGACTCCTTCTCATGTTTCATCAGCCAGACAGTGGTCAATATTAGACCCACTTAACATATTTTTGGCCAAAGAGTCTTTGATCTTGAACTTTCTATAAATACTCATAGACTCCTTCTGATGTTTCATCAGCCAGACAGTGGTCCATATTTGACTTCCTTAACATATTTCTGTCCAAAGAGTCTTTGAACTTGAACTTGAACTTTCTAAAAATACTCATAAGCTCCTTCTGATGTTACATCAGCCAGACAGTGGTCCATATTTGACCTACTTAACATATTTCTGGCCAAAGTCTTATCAAAGGCTAACTTACTATGCGTACTCATAGAGTTCCTTTGATGTTACTTCAACCATAGATTAGACCATATTTGACCTTATGAGCACATTTCTGGAGAAAGAGTCCTTAATCTTGAACTTTCTATACATACTCATAGACTCCTTCTGGTGTTTCATCAGCAAGACAGTGGTCCATATTTGACCTATTAACATATTTCTGGCCAAATTCTTTTCAAAGGCTTACTTGCTATGCATACTCATAGAGTTCTTTTAATGTTACTTCAACCACAGATTAGACCATATTTGACCTTATGAGCACATTTCTGGAGAAAGAGTCCTTAATCTTGAACTTTCTATACATAATCATAGACTCTTTCTGAAGTTTTATCAGCAAGAGAGTGGACCTACTTAACATATTTCTGGCCAAAGTCTTATCACAGACTAACTTACTATTTATACTTATAGACTTCTTTTGATGTTACTTCAACCATATATTAGACAATATTTGATCTTATGAAAACATTTCTGGACAGAGTCCTTAATCTTGAACTTTTATACATAGACTCCTTCTGATGTTTCATCAGCAAGAGAGTGGTCCATATTTGACCTACTTAACACATTTTTTGCCAAAGTCTTATCAAAGGCTAACCTACTATTTATACTTATAGACTTCTTTTGATGTTACTTCAACCATATATTAGACAATATTTGATCTTATGAAAACATTTCTGGACAGAGTCCTTAATCTTGAACTTTTATACATAGACTCCTTTTGATGTTTCATCAGCAAGAGAGTGGTCCATATTTGACCTATTTAACATATTTCAGGCCAAAGAGTCTTTGAACTTGAACTTTCTATAAATACTCATAGACTCCTTCTGATATTTCATCAGCCAGACAGTGGTCCATATTTGACATACTTAACATATTTCTTGCCAAAGTCTTATCAAAGGCTAACTTTCTATGCATACTCATAGACTCCTTCTGATGTTCCATCAGCAAGAGAGTGGTCCATATTTGACCTATTTAACATATTTCTGGCCAAAGAGTCTTTGAACTTGAACTTTCAATAAATAATAGACTCCTTCTGATGTTTCATCAGCCAAAGAGTGGTCCATATTTTACCTACTTAACATATTTCTGGCCAAAGAGTCCTCGATTTTGATCTTGCTATACATTCTCATAGACTCCTTCTGATGTTTCATCAGTAGTTCAAATATGATATTTTGAACCTATTTTTGGCCTGAGAGTCCATGAACTTTCTTTAACTCTCTGGGGTCGGCGGTCTCGCCGGCGATACCAGCTCACTTTTTTCCTTATCAGTGCAAAAGAGACTCAAATTACTTTGTTGATTTTGATCTTACATATAAGTGTTATACATCATTCGATCCTGTTAAGTTTGTATTTTTTTTGTGGAACCTCACAATAAAAACAAAGTGTTGTGCTTTTCGCCAAATAAAGAAAAATAAACATGATGCGCGTTCTGCGTTCTCTCTGTCAGTGCAGTCCATTCTGAAACGCGTCCTAAGATTAACTGTAACTCCGCGATTACTTGTCACACAGGCACGAGAGATTTTTCTTTATGAAGCTTGAATTCTCTTCTTTTCAATGAAGTAATTTATATAAAAAACAAATATTCTCAGTTTATGTAATCTGTATGAAAAGAGAGTGATTTCAGTATTTTTTTCCCCAGCTCATTACACTACATTACGCGTTAATGTGACACGCCCACGGAGGACGCGCGCTATTCAAACGCAAATGTTGAGGCAAGCCATGACAACGCCCACATCAGCCGTTCCACCGCGGCGGTAAAATGTGTGGTGTATTTGCTGCCTTTTACCGCTAAGAGGCGCTACAATCATAGACTCTGAAAAGTGTTCGTTTATTCTCTCTAATGCGTAATCTGCGGCTCATTCAGAGCGATTGAAAGCTGGTAGCAGATGAATTCAACAAGTGAAACGTAGTTAAAATAATTCATAATCACAATACTGAAATTAGGCTACTGAAATGAAATTGAATAAATAATGAAAACATAAAACATTGCAATAAAAACATTTAGGCTACATCAATGACGCTTTACAAGAGCATAAGACATTAGTTCTAACAGCGTACAGACGGTAGCTCAGTGATCAACGCAATAACATGAGCTTCAAGGAGCTTCAAGCGACCCGAGATCGAATCTCAATGTAGCATACATGTTGTTAACCGATGTCGGCCGACATCGTTTATATTTGACCACCTTGATGCTTAAATAGCTAACTGTTTACTTATTTAAAGTCAAGAGTTTTGTTTAATTATCATTACAACATATTTGCTACATTCCTGTAGAACCGCAGCCGCTGCACAAAGGACATAAACTGATGAAGGAAGATTGTCAGCCGATTGCATCAGAAAATGAAAATGAAGAAGCTCGTCTTTAGTCTGCTAAATTATTGTGTAATGTAAAAGAACACTAAAATTACTTAAGTTTGAAACCAAGTTCGAACATTTCAAGGTTTAAATAAAGTGTCGGGACAGTTTTTTTAAATTTAAAACAGGGTTGCATCGGGTTTAGAGTTTATTTCTTGTGCGATGCAAAATAAGAAACACTAGGCTAATCTTATTCTTGCGACATTTTAAATTTGTATTGCCAAAGAAATGACAGCTATGTTAAACAATTAAAACAGTACAAAACGAAAATTGTCCAAAGAAACATAATTAAATTAAAAACATGCGTTTTTCTTTGCCTCTCTCGCGCTGAATTTCTTTTTAACAAGTCTATTTAGTCTCCCTCGCTGCGCGCGCCGGCCGGGTCTCTCTCGAAATTAAGCATTTCAGGGACAGGGTAAAAACACATCAGCTGATAATACTGTATATGTCGCTGCGTTATCCGACACTCTCCATATGAAAGAGGAACATTAACATTATTGTCCTGCGCGCACGATACAGCACTGAACTGTCCCTCCAACCCCCCACAGGCTATCGGAGTCTGAGGCTGACTTAACACAAAGAGAAGTCGCAATTCACACTTAAATCGCTATTCTAGACAGTGTT